GAAATGAGATGGACACACATTGAAATAATGATTTCAGCATACAAGTCTCATTTACACCACTTTCTGTTCTCAAATATTTTAATCTTAGACTATTTTCACAATCTAAAACTCACACTACATATCATATAAACCATATATATTTTGAGATCAAGATTATAGTACACAGAGTGATAGTAAGACAGAAAGCAGATAATGCTCTTGTGGCATTTTTTTCATGTATTCATTTTCAGCTACAGTAGAATTTTTTCACCTGCATGGCTTCAATTCTCTGAATTCTTACAGCAAAAAAAAAAAAAAAAAACCTCAGATAAATGTTGGAAAGAAGGAATTCTGTATCCTTTCTCTATTCAGCCTCTTTTCTCATTTCAAAAACTGACTAGGCTTAAGTTGTTTCTTTTTTAACAACTATTAAAAAAAAAAGAAACTCTATTTAATGTGGATTTTCTCATCCGTGCCCGTGTGATCATGTTGGTTTCCTAGTTTAAGATTGTAAAAAAAGTATTATTGCTCATTTAAAAAAAGCATGTCAGTTACTTCCTAAGAAGTTTGTAAGAAGCAAATTATCTTTGGCAAAATCATTCACACTTCCCAAGAATTAAAAAAAAAATGAGAAAGTTAAGAAATGAGCAGCTGATACTTCATAAAGCCAATGAAGGAGAAAAGTGAAGTATAAAAAAGAGAAATAAGGAATATTATGGATCAAGATTGTCCCACTAAACTAACAATATTTTATTTTACAATACTTTAAAGTGTAACTTAGCAGCTCCCAACCTTTTGGGGAACTGGGCCGCACCCGGGAAATGGTTCCGTGGAGAGAGATTTTTCCATGGACCAGAGGGTGCATTGTTTCACATGCTGCCTGCATCCTGTGGATGGGGCTTTGTCTGTTTGTATTGATTCTATCATGTTGCGGCCCAATGCTGGGTACCCCTGGTCTAACTGATTCTACCTCTCCAGTATTTCCAAGCATTTATTTAAAGTTCAGGAAATATTCATAACTTAGTCATAAATTACTTCTGAAGATATTCTTGTTTTGAAAAGTATGCCACAGCTTAAAAATAAGGTATTGTAGTATTAGAAAAGAAAGTTATGTGCTCCCTAATTCCACCTTTGTGATATCAGCACTGTAAATGATACCCTGCCATTTCCCCTAGCAAATCATTTTATTATGAATGAAGCCACCCTTACAAAATAAAGTGTAGATTTTAGCAATCATTGGAAATGTAATAAATCAGAAAGTGAATTGGACCATAGACGAGACCACCTTCTGCAACCTATAACCTCCCACCAACCAGTACGCTCCCACAGAGTGGGCCTCCTCAGGGTACCATCACTAAAGCAATGTCGACTGGTGGTTCCCAGGGGGAGAGCCTTTTCTGTGGGGGCACCTACCCTTTGGAACAGGATACCGCCAGGAATAAGAATAATCCCAGATCTTCGTACTTTCCATCGGGCACTTAAGACCTTCCTCTTTCACCAAGCCGGGCTGGCATAATTAATTTTTTCTTTCCTTTTCCTAATTGTGTAAATTTTATTCTGAAGATCTTAACTTAACTGATAAGCCAAATTGACTTAATTATTATTTATTGCTTCTATTCACATTTTTATATATATGTTTATTTTGACTGTTCACCGCCCTGAGTCCTTCGGGAGAAGGGCGGTATAAAAAATTAAAAAATTAAATAAATAAATAAATAGACACCTTTTTAATATTGTAAACATTATAACATTTTGCTATATGATTACATTGCGAAATCCCTGTTAAACTGGAAGAGAACACTCAGGAAAGTCATTTCTATGACACAATTGTAACGCAAATAGAATATATGCTAAATCCACTGGCAGTTCAAACAACAGCCAGTGTCCCAAGTAAGAGGCCTATCAAAAGCTCTAGATACCCCCTAGTCCTATCATAATACAGATATCTGGTTAATATGTATTTCACCTGACATGGAAATGCTCCTGGCAGCTGTATATATTCCAGATGTCAATTGACAAGTGACAAGTATTCCAGGTGTCAATTGACAATCTGAGAAACTTCCTTTCTATATGGACTGTATAGCATTATATATGTGTACTTTAAGCACTGAGAGCCAGTTTGGTGTAGTGGTTAAAGCATCAAACTACAAATTGGTATATAGGGCTCTAGTCCTGCCTTGGGCATGAAGCCAGTTTGGTGATTTTGAGTCAATCACTTCATTTAACTCCTAAGAAGAAGGCCAACCGTTTCCAAATATGTTGCTGAGAAAACTGCAGGGACTTGTCCAGGAAGTTGCACAGAATCAAGACTGACCTGTAGAAACAAACAAACAAAACCCCTTTAATCACGGGCCACACGCTAACCACTACAGCTCAAGTGATCTTGATTCACAAGTAGATGGAAGTACAAACTTTGTACCTTTTATTTAATGTGTACACTTCTAAAGGGAGATCTTAATAAAAGATTGATGATTATACCGATATCTGTCTTGAGCAAGGCCTTGTTTTACCTTGCAAACGTTGACGGATTTATTGTTCCTGGATTACTTGTCTCACGCTATTGGCCTATAAAGACCTCTACAATTCTGTAATTGTATGTTGAATGCACAGCATATATTTCTAAACAGTCAATTCACCATCATTTCTTTTGCCAAGTTCAATAAAAAAGAAGTAAATTGTTTATCAAATCCAGATGAAAAGATACCGAATTTATTTTCTGGCCCCCAAAAGCTCCAATTCTTTTATGATGAATAGTAAAAATTCAGCAGTAAGCAGCAAAATTCAGTAACTCACCATGCAAAGGAATTGAATACTGAAACATCTACCCATATACACATGACATAATCTTCTTCTTCTTGTGCCATATCTGTCATCGGACATTGGCTATCATGGTGGCAATCCTATTTTTGTCAACAGCCGTATGAAAAAGTGCTGCTGAGTTTTGTCCAAACCAGTCCCTTAGGTTCTGAAGCCATGATGTTCTTCTTCTGCCTGGACCGTCAGTCTTTCCCTGGAGGATTAAGTGAAGGATGCCGTATTTTTCTGGGTGTTGCATCACATGTCCAAAATATTCTAACTTTCACTTTTTAACGATTTTGATTATTTCCCTTTGCTTTCCCAGGTGGCTTATCGCCTCCTCATGACATGACATAATAAGAATGAAAATTAATGGATCATTTAAATCATTGCTGTTGCAATCAAATATTCAATCAAGACTATTGTGTGACTTTTGTCATATCTTACCCCTTATTCAACAGCGCCAATACTTAAACCAGGAAGAAGATATTCTTCCATAATTTAAAATGGCTGAAAAAGCAACATTATGTAACTCCGTATCCCAGGTCCTACTATTTGTGCGCAGTATAGCTTTTTGTATCTGCTATTGGGGGGAAACTTTGTTGCAGCGCTTCAATCTCTCATAATTCTTGAATTTATTATTTTAGCCCAAGAAAATTTCAAAGGGGAATGATAGTCACATTCTCTGTTGATTGCAAAATTATACATTTATAACCTGAATGCCTGCCCAAAACTTATACATGAATGGATAGCACAATGAACTAACTTCAAGATCTTATATCACTTGGGACTGTTGGTATAACATTTCACTAAATGAAGTCATTGCAATGAATGTCTATGGAGATTCTTAGTCATCCAGGTCATGGCTGGACTCTGACTCCACCGCGCTCTCAAGACCTTTTTATTCCACCTGGCGGGCCTGGCCTAATCTTTTCCCATTTTCTTTTTTAATATGAAAATTTTAATCTGTTTTTAAATGATTGGGGTGTTTTAAATCTGTCTGGGCCAAATTGTTTAATTTGGTTTTATTCTGTTATTTATTTATTTATTTATTTATTTATTTATTTATTTATTTATTTATTTATTTATTTATTTATTTCAATTTGTATACCGCCCTTCTCCTAGTGGACTCAGGGTGGTGCACAGTCAGAACTAAAACACATACCAATACAAAATTTAAAATTATTAAAAGAATTACATAACTGGCCCAAATTTAAAACAATTCAATTAAAACCCAATGACAATTTAAAAGCTAAAAAACTAAAAAAGACTAAAAAGGGGGGAGGGGGTTCACGCCAGCCCTGCTTGATGGAAAAGAAAAGTTTTCAGGGCACGGCGAAAGACCCAGATATCCGATATCCTTCGTATCTCCGGGGGCAAATTGTTCCAGAGGGCAGGAGCTGCCACAGAGAAGGCCCTCCCCATGGAGGTCACCAGCCGACATTGCCTGGCTGACAGCACCCTGAGGAGTCCCTCTCTGTGGGAGCGTACTGGTCGGTGGAAGGCTATTGGCGACAGAAGGCGGTCCCGCAAAATTTTTAAATTTTCTATTTATGTATTTTATCGGTTGGCTGTTCACTGCCCTGAGTCCTTCAGGAGTAGGACGGTATATAAATCAGATAAAGATAAAGAAAGAAGATGGCTGTCCCAAAGATAATTTTTTCAAGAGGCAACTGGGCTTTCTGGTTTTTCTTTGAAGACATTTTGCTTCTTATCCAAGAGCTGAAGAAGCTTCTTGGATAAGAAGCAAAACATGTTCAAAGAAAAACCAGAAAGTCCAGTTGCCTCTTGAAAAAAGCACGTTTGGGTCATTACAATGAACTACTGCTAGAAACATTCAGGTGAAAGACAGTGATTCTAGCCATCCGCATATAGAGTTCATAAAATTATTTAATATTTTTATCTGATTTTTATCCTGTCTTTCTAACCAAAATAGTGTATATTATGACATGATTAAAGTACGCATTTGTATATGTAGGGTGTGTGTGTGTGTGTAAATTCCCTCCTCGCCATTATGAGTGGTCTGTGACTTCCTCAATCTCAAGCCCTTTACCAGAGGCCTGGGTGTTTGAGGTTCCACATAGGATCTTAGCTGTTCCTAGCATTGCACTCTTCTGGACAGACAGCTTTGATGTTGTTCCTGGGATCTGATATATAAAACTACATGTATAATTATTTGTAAATCAAATGTTATGAGTTATATCCTATTTGTTCCTGTCTCTTAGATCGAATTGCACAGAATATAATTAAGTCCCATTTGGAAACGTGTCAGTATACAATGGAGGAACTACACCAGCTAGCCTGGCAAACGCACACATATGAAGAAATCAAAATATACCAGAGCAAGGTACAAAAAAAAAAAAAAAAACCCAAACCAATAAAATGTCTTGTTTCTTTCTTACCACAAAGAAAGCATGGCCTCTCTGAATTCATGATTATAACTATGGTGATTGCAAAATTGAATAAGGATGTTTTAAAAAATGGAGTAAACTTCCTAATCTCCATCTAATTTTTTGTGCTAACCTGTTGTGTCTGTCACTTTGAGTACCTACCCTCAGTTCTGTTTCTGCAGTTTACTTGTGCTCTGTAGGGGCAGAGGGAAAACCTTCCCCTTATATTTCCTGAATTTAATTTACTGGATGATCTGAGGCACTAACTTGATTTTCTCTATACAATGCTTATTGTAGGTACAGCAAACATCCCTTTCTTACTCACCTTTTATTGTAAGGGGGACAATTAAAATCCCAACTACTACAACTCTTCCTTTTAACAGAGTTGCCTCTTTTCCCTCTCAGAAAATAAGCCCACTACAAGCAGAGTGGAAAGAAAAAGGTTTTCAAACAAACCGAATATCCTGTCATATGGTTATCACCTCTGGCATTCTATGAATTGTTGAAAGCACTGTTACTTATTTGTGTTACTACAAGATTTCTGTACACAATTTGTATGTTTAGTACTCTGTATTTAATTGTGCAAGTTTCCAGATGAATGTGCACTTAGAACAATGAATGAAGTGTGCCCTACTGAACTTCTAATTCTCTATTCTTTTGTGATTTCCACTTGTAATTTCCTCATTAGCGAAATATCAAAAGTGGAGTCAAATAATTTGATTGTGTTAGGAACTTGGCAGAACTAAGGTATTATCTGCCTATAGCCGCCCTGAGTCTTCGGAGAGGGGCGGCATACAAATTGAATTAATAAATATTCTAAAACCCAGAATATGCAGAATTTGTTCAAAAACCATTCCTGGGTTTAATTAAGGAGTGGTATTCCTTTCTTGTATTATGGGTCTATCCTTCTAGAGAAGATGGTGATTGGAATCAAACTACTAGGAATATAAGCATGATGAGAGTGAAGCTGACACCTTAATTAAACAAAACAGGGACCTATGAAACATCCAAGGGTTCAAATCATTTCACTTGGCATAGAATCGAGATCACATGAAGTGTTAATACCACTTTTTAATGCTTTGGTAAGGCCACACTTGAAATACTGCATCCAGTTTTGGTCACCACAATTTTAAAAAGATGTTGAGACTCTAGAAAGAGTGCAAAGAGCAACAAAGATGATTAGGGGACTGGAGGCTAAAACATATAAAGAATAGTTGCTGGAATTGGGTATGTCTGGTCTAATGAAAAGAAGAACTAGGGGTCACATGATACAAGTGTTCCAATATCTCAGGGGCTGCCACAAAGAAGAAGGAGTCAAGCTATTCTCCAAAGCACCTGAGGACAGGACAAAAAGCAATGGGTGGAAACTAATCAAGGAAAGAAATTTAGAACTAAGAAGAAATTTCCTGACAGAACAATTAATCAGTGGAACAAATTGCCTCCAGAAGTTGTGAATGCTCCAACACTGGAAGTTTTTAAGAAGAGATTGAACAACCATTTGTCTGAAATGGTATAGGGTTTCCTGCCTAAGCAGGGGGTTGGACTAGAAGACCTCCAAGGTCCCTTCCAACTCTGTTATTCTGATCTGTTCTGTTCTGTTCTGTTCTGTTCTGTTCTGTTCTACTCTACTCTACTCTACTCTACTCTACTCTACTCTACTCTACTCTATTCTACTCTACGCCACACCACACCACACCACACCACACCACACCACACCACACCACACCACACCACGCCACTCCATTCATGATGATCATAATATGAATCAAGGGTGGACAAATTTTATGGAGCTGTGGGGAATGAGAATATTTTTTTAAATGACTAAGAGCCACAATGAATGGGACAATGACATTATTTAAACGGGTAACAGATTCTCCAACAGTATCCATGTGGGGAGTGGATGAGGCAGAGGAGGAAGGGAACTTAGTTTTAGGGGCGGAACCTTAGTCAGATGCATTAAACATTAGATGTTTGGCAATCTGTTACCAATTTTCAACAGCATAATCTCTGATTTAAAGAGCATTCTCTCTCTGCTTTCCTTCTTTTTCATGTGACTTCTTCTTGAAGTCAAGAGAAGCATTATGGCAGCAGTGCGCAATCCAGATCACACATGCGATTCAGTATGTGGTGGAATTTGCAAAACGGATAACGGGCTTCATGGAACTCTGTCAGAATGATCAGATTCTACTTCTCAAATCAGGTTTGTAGAGGAGATTACATTGCAGTCTACAATACTTAACCAACATTAATATGTGATCAATAAAAGAAGATAAAGATACAGGACCTGTTACGCTTAGTAAAAATTACACTTTCTTACCATCATTTCTTTTTCTATATCAGAATGCAAAATAGAAAATTGCACAGTGTCTGTCCTGTGGAAACACCAATGTTATATGTTTAGCTGCACGTAAAAGTGATTGAAAGTATGATGTTGTAAGCCAATTCAACAGTGAGATGGGTAGCATATACATTTAATAAATAAAACAATTATCCTAGTGGGACAAAGTTTAAAAAATTATGTGACTCAATATTCTTCTAGAATAAAGCTTTAATATATCTCTTCTTACAACATTCATCAAATATCAGAGATAGTACTTTTACAATACAGAACTGGCTATACTGTCTTGTTGGGATATTTCTGTCTAATATTTCAGGACTTTTGTTATCATTTCAGGCTGCTTGGAAGTTGTTCTAGTGAGAATGTGTCGTGCCTTCAACCCACTCAACAACACCGTCTTGTTTGAAGGAAAATATGGAGGAATGCAAATGTTCAAGGCTTTGGGTAGGCAGGTTGTTTTTACAAAACTGAAGGCTTTGTAAATAATTGGGATTTATTTCAGTTCATCAGCATTTGTAATATTTAGGGGACCAAGTCTCTGCTAGATCTATTTTCTCAGATGAGAAATAAAATCCAGTTCCTATTAGGATATTCTGCTTATGTCCCATATAATAGCAGCAAACCAACTTTCTTGTTCTTGAATCTCTGTTTACTCAGTAATTATTTTACATGCTTTTACTATGTCATCTGGCAGAATTGAAATTCATTTCTCCCGTAGATTTATGAGCTACTGCCAAATTATTAAAAAAAAATACAGGCTGAAAACTTGTACTAGATTTGGAAAAGGTACAAGTTTGGATTTTAGATCAGAATTAGATTAAGGTATAAGGTAGTAAACATACATGCTGAAGGAGAAGTATAAAGATTTAGGGTGAGGGAGTCAAGGTATTCATAGTAGGAATGAGGAGGGCAGGTTGATCAAACATGTATCATAACATCATGATGAAAATCCATGACTCAGCGTTTATGTCTGATCTCAGGATAGACGTATGGTAGGGCAGAGGTTATTTTGTGAGATGACAAATTCTACTGTGTTCAGAAAGTTTTAAAAAGTAACTTCACTTTTTTTGTGGATACCTAACCTGAAAGGTTAGGTGGCTCAGTGGCTAAGACGCTGAGCTTGTCAATCGAAAAGTCAGCAATTTAGCGGTTCGAATCCCTAGTGACGCGTAATGGGGTGAGCTCCCATTACTTGTCCCAGCTTCTGCCAACCTAGCAGTTCGAAAGCACATAAAAAATGCAAGTAGAAAAATAGGGACTACCTTTGGTGGGAAGGTAACAGAGTCCCATGCGCCTTTGGCATTTAGTCATGCTGGCCACATGACCATGGAGACGTCTTCGGACAGCACTGGCTCTTCGGCTTTGAAACAGAGATGAGCACCACCCCCTAGAGTCGGGAATGACTAGCACATATGTGCGAGGGGAATCTTTATCTTTACCTTTAACCTGAAAGGGGGAAATTATTTCTACGTAGACTATATGAACTGAATGAGCACATTAGATGTATAATAAGTAATTGAGTGACAGGTCACAATTTGTCTTCATAGCTCTAAGTGGTTTAGATAGGTGAATGACTAGCTGCTCCATTACAAACCTTGTAGCTGTTCACTAAAGTTCCTCTTTCAGGTATCCCATCTCTAAAGTTGAGGTGGGTGTTTAAGACAGCAGCATGCAGAATTGATGGGCAAATGACAGGAAATCCCACCAGTATTGTTCTCATGGTTCATGTGACTCCCTTGAGCGGAGCCAGGACTCAGAACGATTGAGTCTGTTGATAGAGCCAGGGGTAGGATTCAGCTGGTTCGGACCAGTTCAGGCGAACCGGTAGCTCCGATGATCAACGAAACGCACGCTCAACGAAGCTGTTGTTACACCGGTTGAATCCCACCACTTGATAGAGCTGAATGGAAGCCTAGATCTCTTCAACCATAAAGTATACAAGCTTAACCAATTGAAGCATGTGAGTGTGAGATTCATTCTTGCTACTATCAAACTCATACCCAGAAATTTCATATAGGAGGCTGGGTAATAACTTGACAACAGTGCTTAATAGTTGAGCTGTATAAATCCTATACACACTCCGAAGGCATTTCCAGAACTTGACCTGGTTATCTGTGTTGCTTGTAGGTTCTGACGACCTTGTAAATGAAGCATTTGACTTTGCAAAGAACTTGTGTTCATTGCAGCTGACTGAGGAAGAAATTGCCTTGTTTTCATCTGCTGTTCTGATATCACCAGGTGATTTCCTGCAACTGATTTTCCTTTTCTTTTTTTAACTCATCCTGTGTTCAAAATGTACCACTGTCAGTCTTTCCTGTAGCACATCACCCATGTAGGCATATTAACTTAATTAAGGAAGGCTGGATTGATATAATCTGTTTTGTGTTTTGTTTTTAATGTGGTATATGTTATAAATTCAGAAGCTAGGCCCAGAAAAATGTCATTCTTGAGTGCCCCATAGATCTCATTGTTTGTAACTCAGGAACCCTCAACATGATGAGTGAGTGAACTGGACAGATTGTTACCTGGAGGTAGTTTGTCAGTACCTCTTCCTTGAAAAATTCTTTAAATTCAATGTCGTTTAAATTTATAGATCAACTTCTGAATCGTAAACTATGTTTCCTTTAGAAATGATAACATTGCATGGCACAGCTATGGCATTAATAGTTTGGTCCATTAGAGAAGTGCATTGAGGATTTCACATCAAAATGAAAAGCCATCATTTGTGTAATTCAAAGTAATTAGATTTTGATTTGAAACTGAATGGGTGCACTTCCTTCACAAACCTGAGATATTTAATTGCTGAAAATTAAACTAATTACCATGAATCTTCTTTCTACCTTTTAATGACGTATGTTTATGCTTATTTTAATTTTGTTGTCTTGTTTGCCCAGATCGAGCTTGGCTCTTAGAACCAAGGAAGGTCCAGAAACTTCAGGAAAAGATTTATTTTGCACTTCAACATGTGATTCAGAAGAATCATCTTGATGATGAGACTTTGGCAAAGGTAGAGCATCAATACAAAATGACATTCACAGAGAACCCAATCTCTAGAAATAAAACTATACTAGGATATTTGCTTTCCCTCATTTGTAATGGCAGTTTTCCCCAGTAAAGAAAGCAGTTACTCAGTTGTAATGATTCCCAGACTTACTTGGAAAAGCATTGTCAATGACATCAAAGGAATGTATAGGCCTGGGGAAACTTGCTTAAACAGCAGGTTAATTTTGACGTAATGCCTTAACTGGTTTTGGGGCCCAATTCTGGCAGAAGTTGTTCCTGGAAAAACTGTTCCTCACCTCTAACAAGCTATTTCCCACTATATTTATGGGCCTTTAGTAGATTCATGCGGAAGAGCAGATGTCATAGTTGGACATGTGTTGCTGGAATTCCTCTGCAGCTCAGAAGCACCCACGGGAGTCAAACCACGAGTTACAGAGGATCTTCTCTGCAAGGTCCTTCTCTAACCATTGCCTTTATTGTCTTTCCTCTCCCAGAGGCAGTGTTTGATTTGTTAGGCTTACTACTAAACTTTGAAGGGGAAGTTACTTTCAAAAGCTGCTCCAAGGAGCAGCCTTGACTGCAGTGTAAGTTTATTCTTCTACAGTTAGATAAACTTGTAGGTTTACTTCACCTCCTTGACAGGTGCTTTACCTCACCTCCTTGACAGGTACAGAGAAGTGAGGAAAAGGAGGAGATTATGCAAGTGGGGAAAAAATATTGAAAGTTGAGTAAGCACATTGTTGGCCCAGCTAGGCAAGGGGGTCCCTAAAAGTCATCTTGCCTCTGGCTCCCCTCAGAACTGATGATGTCACCTCTGCAATTTTTCTCCTGCTGAATGGAAGGATGTAGAGCTACCCTCTCATGGGAGAAACAGACATTCACCATAAAATGAGGTGTTTCCATTTGAGTTTTCCTGCTTGAGCTTCTCAAGTGTATTAAGAAGGCCTTAACTGATTAGCCTAATTGACAGGATGTCTGTCACAGTTGTTCTGGTTTTGTCTTTCTAGCAAGTCACTTTTTCTTCCCTAAAATTGACTTAGCTAATCTTTGGTTCCCTAAAATTTATTTTAATGATTTAAATGTTTTCAAGCAACATGTGTTTTGTTTATGAACTGTTTAACATATGGCTTTAGCTTCAGTTGACAAAGAAAAGTCAGCAATTTTATTAAGCAGCACCAAATTAAATTCTACTGCCATGTTTTTAAAAGTAAAAATTCGAAGAATTTGAAAGTATGCATTTATGCACTCTTTGATTTCAAATAAAAAAAATTCTTGGTTTATCTTTCTCTGTCTGCCTTCCAGTTAGTAGCCAAGACATCAACCATCACTGCACTTTGCAACCTGCATGGAGAAAAACTGCAGGTATTTAAACAATCTCATCCTGATATAGTGAACACACTTTTTCCTCCGTTATACAAGGAACTGTTCAATCCAGATTCTACCACTGGTTGCAAGTGAAGGGAAAGTGAAAGCTCCTGGAATGCATCGCTGATCAGACAAAAGAATTGTTGTCATGAAGACTTTCTTTAAAACTTGTCACTACTGCAAACCTAGGAATGTCCTGCACTTAATAGAATTATTTTTCACCGCTACAGTTTGAAGAATGTAAATATGCACTCCTGACTGGAGCCTCTTTGGTTTCTCTTCTTTTTGTTAATTTTTCCCCCCTTTTTTAATTTTTAACTGACCAGAAAATTGCAAGTATAGAATACTGGGTGTGATCTTTATTGTTTATTGTTTATTTTATTGGGGCTATGTTCTGGGAGACCACTGTTTATAGATGTTTATTGTAGATATAAAAGAAAGCAGAGGAGTAATTTGCAACATTACTCTGTTTAGTCAAATATAATTTAAGGAAAATTCACTAAACTAGGCTTACCTATTTCTATGTTTTAGCTAGTTAAATGCATGTGGCAATTTGTAGCTGTCTTGGAAACAGGTGTGTATGTGTATGCAAAAAGTCATGGACTTTCCCTTTGTGTGTGCGGCATCAATGCATTGAGGGCTTCATACAGACTTTAAAAGACCCTGCTTTCCCTGAATTCTTGGCAAGAGTGGACAAAGCACATTTCAAAGCAGTAGAGTATTTCATGTCTTGCCCTATCGCTTTTTCCCTATTCAGTATACAAAGATGGTTGGAGACTGTCCATTACCCTATGTGTTAACCTGAGGAGGAGGGGGAATAAGGAAAAATCTGAAATACTGAAGTCCCATATGGATTCTCTGACACATGGGGAAACTTCATGTCCTGTTTGTCTATGAGCAGTATATATCAGGGAAGGCCAACGTTCATACTTTTCAACCTGTTCTATCCTTTAGACCATGTTTAGAACCAGGAAAATATTTTTACGCACCATTCGATCACCTCTCCACTATAAATTCTAATAAAACTGAATCATCCAGGGCAGTGTTTCCCAACATTGGCCATTTCTAGGTATGTGGACTTCAACTCCCAGAATTCCCCTGCCAGCATGGCCATTGCTAAGAATTCTGGCAGTTGAAGTCTATACCCTTAGAAATGGCCACAGTTGAGCAACACTAATCTAGGAGGTTATTTATAAAATTAAAAAAAAAAAAAGGAGATGCAATACGAAATCTCTCATACAAAGAAGGGCACCACCTAAACTTCATTTGAACAACCATTTTTTCCCTTCTTTGAATAAAATTGCAGGAAATGTTTTAATCAAGATTTAATTCACATTTGATCATACCACCGGAGAGAGGATAAAATTGCTTTATGAGTCAACTATTAGCCATCCCTGAAATGTACCAAATAATTAATATATATATATATATATATATATATATATATATATGGAATGTACACACACACACACATGCACACTTGTAGCATAAAATAAGATCCCTATTTTTAAGGACGTTCTCCTGTATTTTTAAATTTCTCTTTGTAATGTGTTAGGTTTATGTTGGGCAAGTAGACTTTTGCTCTGCCATCCATATATAATGACAAGATGGTAACGTTTCTGATCAATTTGTATATAATGTTTATGCGTACTCAGCCAGTGAATGAAAAGTCAGATTTGTGTAATTGGTGCCAAAGCCTTGTCTGGATAATTCAAATGGACAGAGAGAAAATTAACGGGAGATTTTTCTTTTCATCAGTGATAGAGCTGAAGTCTATACTAACCATACTATTATCAAATATATTACCAATCAAGTGTTTAAATTGCAGAGTACAACATACAGCATCCCAAACAGTACATTTGTTTTGTGTGGACCAGATAATTTATTTTATTAATCTTTCCTGAAACAGGAACAATTAGAAATTTAGTTTGCTCTGTTATCCTTCAAGGGCCATCAGAGCAAGTCCAGTAAGAGATAGCTTTGAAGAATGAAGTAAAAGTCACAAGGCCATCCAGTCACCAACTAGGATCTTTTGTGAGAGTGCAAACTTCTCATTTGCATCACCATTATGTAACTATACTGCAACCTTTGGATCAACATCTTTTTCATTGGTTCATTTCACATCCATGGCTCTAGTTGATTAGTTTCTAATGTGCAATAAAGTTGAAGCTTAGCCTTTAGGTCTTTTTCCCACCTACCAATGAGTTTTGGTTAATAGGAAAATGATTGTTCTACAAAATTTTATTCCTTAGTTCCAGGAGACTTTCTATTAAAATGTTCTTCCATCTCCCAAGAATTTTAAAGGGGAATTCATAAACAGACACAATAAAATTGTCTTCTCCCTACCATCACTCTCTTTCTCTTGGGTTCTTCAAACCTATACTTTTGAATGATTCCTTTAGGATTCAGATTCATGCTTCAGAAGTATGCATGTACAGTTATTAAAGGTCTTACAAAGACACAAGTTCTCCCATCCTTCATAATTGGGCCTTCACTATTGCTCTGTCTTAACTTCTTAGAAATTGAGAGAACTATAGAATACTTCCATTATTTTGCATTCCACCTGTATTCAGAAATCTGCCACCCTACAAAGTCATTCTTTTAAGCTTCTGACATTAACATTCTCTGCCGATTACAATGTTCAATGCTATTCTTTTAAAATTGCTTTATACACACAGCATTCTGCACTCCAGGTTTTCCTTTAGAAATATATAGCAGAGCTGTGGTACAAATAGTGTTTTTTTGAAAGGTATTCAACATCTTTACCTCTGATTTTCCGAACCAGAAATACATTATCTTACAGTCCTCTTGAAGCTATCCTTCCCTAAAGTGTTAAATTAATCCATTGAGCTCTGAACAATGTAGTGAGAAATCTAGAGAAGATGAAACTTGGAGGTACATAAGCAGACTCCCACTCATATAATACAGCTGCTCTCTCTTATACAATCCCTCAGAATTTGCTAGTTAGTCCCTAAATCATCCATTACAGGTTTTGAAAGTGCTCTAAACATCACTTGGGGATTGAAAATTACAATCCTTGTTTCTGCTAACAGAAGCTTTTTGCTGGAAGGGATTAATTAGCTACTACTCCTAATTTAGAGGTGCCTGTCATCTGTTACAAAAGGATGAAATGAAGAGCAACATAAATATTTCCTTCTCTCTCTCTCTCTCTCTCTCTCTCTCTCTCTCTTTCTCTCTCTCTCTCTCTGTCCCCTACATACACAAATATCACTACCATAATAAATTTCCAACTGTTTAATTCTAACACCTGTTGCTTTTTCTTATAAGGCCCCAGTGCCAAAACCAAACCCCCCTCCCAAAAAAATCCCATGCAACTAAATAAAAAAAATATTTCTTGAGTCAATGTGTGCTACATCCTATTTTGTTTTGTTTTAAACTCTACTGATTTTCCTCTTCAAGGAATGGGGTTGACAAGAGATACTGTCCCAGTAAATTATATCCTTTTTTTCTTTAGTTGATTTTTCTGTTCTGGAACCAAGACAGCAATAACACTTTATATTGTATTCTGATAATGTACAAGCACTGAGCCACTTTATTCTCAGTGTCTGAGCAGACAGATGTAGACTGCTTGTTACACTTCTACAGGGACTTAATTTTGTATAAATGTCACTCCTGTTGGCTCTCTGTATAAAGAATTAATTCCAAGAGTCATATTTCTTTCTAATGGAAAGATTACTTTACCAATTGCTAGGAAAACAGGGTAATAGAAGACACTCAATTAAACCAGGCTCTTTCCAAATGCAATATATATTTGATGATTGGTTTGCATTAGGAACCTTGCAGGACTTGAGGCTGGGAGGTCTTGAGCTGTTCCAACTCTCATTTAACACAATCTTCTTGATTTCCTTCTTTTTACTCCATCTTGATTCTATATTGTGGAAACATTGGGCAGCGTCCTTTTAAATTTGTTTTATTCTAAGAGCTACATATACACAAATAGTTAGTCAAGTTAATCATTCCTTTAATTCCATTTCTCTGCACTCTGCCAATATGTTGGAAGGGAAGGGAGGGAGGGAGAGAGGGAGGGAGGGAGGAAGGAAGGAAGGAAGGAAGGAAGGAAGGAAGGAAGGAAGGAAGGGATTGATTTTTTTAGTTAGTAAAATTGGTTAATTGGTAAAATTGGAGAATGCCTGGGGCCCAGATCAAGTATAGCGTCCATTAAATGTTAACCTTCTTCAGCAAGTCTTTATGGAGAATCAGACTGATGACATAAAGGTAAATTCACGTAGTAATTCCTTCATACAAAAGGGTTTGTCCTCTCCATTTTGAAATAACAAGAGAAGCCCATGTACATCATGGAACAAATGTGGAACTGTAGATTGGGGTGCAGTTATCGTCCCGACATGGCAATACGGGAGCAGTGGTAAAATGCATATGGACTTGAAACGTTGAAACCTGAGACTTTCTAGATAATTCTATGTATGACTGTGGTGACCCAGCCATTTTGCCTCATTTCTATAAGCTAATCAATACACATGATGTACCACAAACACTAACACCATCCTCTTCTTTCTTGTGAAACCTTCACCCTTTGTAATTGACAATCACTGCTTAAAGCAGATGTTGCACTGTATGCCACTCAGGGATATTATTACCTTATTAAAAAAAAATAATATATAATGACATTAATATGAAAGAAAAAAACTATTAGAAATGTGTTGAAAGGCACAAATTGAGATGCCAAAATGTGGAAAACCCAGACAAGGCTTTCAAGCCAGCTTTAGAAATGAATGGTTAGAAACTGAATTCACTGTTGTTATTCTTGAGCATCATTCACCACTGGTTGTATATTTTTCTTTGGAGCACAAAAATCCATATTTTAAACTTAAAGTATATCCTTTGGAATCAAATTGTTGTGCATATAGGCAAAAATTTCAAACCATTTGGCAAAAAAATATTGATTTGAAAGATGGAGAAAGATGGATTTATTGCACTGCTATTGTATATGCACTTACTTGAACATACATCATCTATAAATCAGTGAGACTTGGGATTTAATCTAGATCAATGAGTTAGAATCAATGTTTTGGACTCTGAACATTTCAATGTATTGACAGTTAACCGCTATAGTTTTGCTGATTTACCACATGGAGAAATATGTAGGATAATGCTGGAAAAAGTGGGGACAGGAGGTATCCATAGTTCCTTCTTATTTTAAAAGATCCCTATCATGGATTGTGTTGGCGATCCAAAATTTTCCATGATCTTAAAAAACAGTTATAGCCAGTACACAAAATTACTTTTAATACCAAATATATTCTGGGTTAACTACAGTAATATGAATTACTGGCATATTTTTGGCACAATTTGTGTATATGGGGGAATGTTCCAACACTAAACACCCGATAGGATCATCAAGAAAAAATTGAAAAACTGTTGTCTATAGACATAAAGACTACTGTAAAAGCCACTAAGTGTTGATAATGCTGGGTTAAATGAAACAGCAATCTCCTTCCTAACTTCCTATATTCCAGGATATTTCCTTTTCCTTTCTGCAGCCCATAATTTAATCTAGGTTAGCTCACAAACAACTATTGCTGTTTAATTGTCAAACTCCTTTAAACTATCTTGTCTTTGTGAAGTTTTACCAACAGTAATGTGAATGATAAAAGGTGATATCCCTTCAGTTTTGATTGGCTATCCTATACAATTCACCTATTATTTTAACTAGTCAGTTAATTAATAACTTTCAAGAGTGTAACTCCCATGATATACTCATTAATTTGTTGGATTGCAATCAAACAAACCCAGCTTCAAGTCTATCCTGGGTATAGGAAATTGATTGGGCTAATCATTCTCTCTTGGTCTGGCCAAGTTCATTAGTTCATTTTGACCTGCTGGAGAAAATGTGGGATATAAATCTAACAAACAAAATAAATGACAGTGTATTTTAAAACAGGTGACAGAACCTCAGTTGGGAAATACTGTAAAATGTCTTCTTAAATGTGGAATTCCACAAACCATATAAAAATATTGTAAACAGCATACTATCCATTATTTTAAAATGTCCTTCTTTTAATAGTTTACCATGTCTCTTATGTGAATAAAATAAAACTTTAACACTTCCCTCCCTCAAATCCATTTAGTATATTCCTCGCAAACTAACCCTGTTCTAAAAAAAAAACTAAGTTCAACATGAAGGAAAGATAAAGAAGGAAACAAATTCATTTGGTTGCTACTACTCACTTTGATATTTAAATGAGGTAAATATAGAGCAAGAGGGACATGATGTTATTAAGTAATTTTGAAGGGAGAAAAGGAGGGGTGAGGGGGTGAGGGAGGGAGGGAGGGAGGGAGGAAGGAAGGAAGGAAGGAAGGAAGGAAGGAAGGAAGGATTTCCTTAACTCACTGCATCTGAAATATCTAATACACATTACA